CTATTGATCAAATGAATAAATACGTGAATACATAAAGTGCTTAAGACCTATCTCATTCCAAGATTACCACTAAACGACGAATCAAACTGCGCAAAAAAAGTCAAAGCAAACTTCAAAATGAATCAAATCTCCAAAACAACCACCAGAATAAATACAAGAATAAATAATTTACCATCATCGTCATCCGATTCTTCGTCTTCCTTCTCCTCTCGTTCCACGAATTTATTCAATAATTGTATATCTACCAATCCACTCGTCTCAGCTCTTTGCCATTTTCCGTCACTCTTCGCTATGCCCTTCCCACTTCCGTCTTCATTCACCTCACCGTCCTCCAACTTCTTCGATCCATCCGTTTGCCCCTGTTTTGCCTCATCGTCTACCTCAGCTGCCGTTTCTTGCTTAACTTTATGAGCCAAAGATCCCACTTTATGAGCAGCCAGTCTTAATGCCCTTAAAGATCAAACCATTAGCCGTTAGCCGTATAAGAAACCATCAATTTGATCGAAACTCTCACTCAAAACTGACAAAAAGTTTTGCTCGAAACCGAATGGCACAACAAAGTTCGAAATGTTATCATCAAGTCTGATGCAAACAACAATATCGCTCACATATCACACCACTCCATTATTAAAAACGATAAAACCACTCCCCATCAAGTACCACCTCATTAATTCTACGCACACAGTTAACTGTCGTCACCAACTCACCTCGCTTTTTCATCCTCCTGTGTTGTCTCTTCGGGTACCAGATCATCAGCTCTTAACACTCTCACTTTTCTTTTCCTCAATTTCTTGCCATCTTTCTTCTTGCTTGGTCGTCGGAATGATATCATCTCTTCCTGGAACACGAAATGAAGTTTTGCAAAAATTTTGCTGAATCATGAAAATTACGCTAATCGTAAGCTTATCCAATTGTCCTCCGTATAAAGTTTCACTAACGAACTGAACGAATGATCTATCCCTTTGCAAAAGAATTCAAATACACCATCTAGATATCGTTTTGCTCTTCGCATCTTCTACACCTATTAATGAAGCAACGAACACAGAATAATCGCAATAAAGCCATCAACCAGAAGCGTACCGCTGTATAGAATTCACTCGCAACTCTATATTTCTGGTTCTCGATAGATTCTAATCGTTTATTTGCCATCATAAGATTCTTTCGTATCAACATCTCCTGACGTTCCTTCTCCAGGTCCACCTCACCACTTTCATCCAATCGGAACATTTGCCGTTCCTCACCTTCCAACTCTTCATCATATTTCGACAGCACGGTTTTTGCTTTTTGCTGTAATTAAATAACCACAAATACTTCCATGACTAGACCTTCATGAATTCATCACTACGACCAATCTATCTCGACGCTCACGCACCGAAACTTCCGTCTCTTTTCTCAGTAGAAAACTTTTATTTTCGATCGAAAGTCATACTCAATTCTCTTCAAATCAAAATTTAAAGAACACACGAAACCAAAAATTCGGTAAATGAATACTCAAACAAGTGGAATAAAATTTGATAACACTCGAATCGCTCACCACTCCGTAATCATCCAGCGATTCCTCTGGGTACGGTTGATATGAACCCTTCTTCTTTCTCAATTCAGCATTCTTCGCGTATTTCGTATTATCAACAATATTCGGATTCACCAAAACTTCATCACCCTCCGCCAGCACATCTTAAATTCACATATTTCAAAACAAATTCACAAAATAATCTACCTAACTTTCAACATTATTTATGAACAACAAAAACATATGGTCATACCAAATCACTCTCAGATGTCGCATAAACTTCCTAGGAGCTATCGTTTAAGAAGAGATAATATTGTTGCTTAATATGACGAATCTGACCAGATCAAGTCAAAAATATGATAGACAAAGCAGTAATGCATTGTAATGATCAGAAAATTATCAATATCAATACAATATCATCAATAAAATATTCTCCAGCCATATGAATATAAAATTGTCAAATTTCGAAGGTTATCTGAGGACTGCTTACAATCGATGAAATGATGATCTACAGCGATCGGGATTATGATTCCAAAAACAGAAAACAAACAACAAGCAAAAGCTAATCAACCTCGATCCTCTAGCACCAGAACAGTTTCGTTGCCTTCGAGGAAATCCTCCTTCGAGTGTCCTACCACTAAGCCAGCCGTATCTGATTTCTGCTGAAAGATAATCAAACTTCAGAATATCTTCCATAAACCTTTCTACGACCACGCTGATTTTTCTCTATCCATTCAATGAAATTTCTTTATATATCATAACATCATATATGCAGTGACGACTAACTTTTTGCTGACGTTTCTTCTTCTGAATATTTTCGGCTCTTCGTTTCTTCTCGTCTTCAATCATTGTATCAACTCCAAATTCTGCGTCCATATCATCCAACAACTTTGCCTTAAACCCGTTCACTTATGCTTTCAAAATATACTTGGAAACAACTGTAACACAGAACACATATCAGTACAATCCACGAACTTAAAATCCTTCATCACTGAATAAATTCCTCAATACAATTTAAAAGACCAACTCGTTCTTCAGCTCGTTTTCTCTCTTCCTCCATTTGTCTGTTCTTAATCACCCAGGCAGAAGCGTCTTCATCGGAATCCGACTCGGCTAATCCTTTCGTTTTCAGAACTTTATCGTAGATTCGACGTTTTTCACGCATCACCTGAAAGCGTGAAAGCATTTGACTTAAGTGGAGTTATCGAAAGTCATTGATCACTCAAGTTATAAACGGATATTAGTTTACTAACCTGAAGTTTCTCTTTGACTTCTTCGGCACGTTTCTTCTCACCCATATGTTCAGGCACTTTATGAACGAATTCCATGCCATCCTCAACGACAACTTTCTCTTTTGAATCACTCCCATTCTCAGACTCTTTCGCCTTCGGACCATCGTTCATTTCCAGTGGTGCCAAACCCAATTGTTTACGCAATTTATTCGTTTCTTCTATTGATAAACTCTCCTCCCTGCAGTCGTCACAATTCAATTATTGTTAAATGAAACACAATAATGGTAGTGCATTTAGTCGAAACGATAATACTTAACAACAGACATAGCCTTACTTCTTATTAGCACTGTTAACAGGTGAGGGTGATTTGGACGCTACATCACGCTCGCTTCGACGGCTTTTCTCTGGCTTACGACGAGATCTGCAA